ACACACACATGCACACAAGACTGTATTTATTTCAGGTGTGCCATTTCCAGTGGCGTGTTAATTTTGGGGAAGCCATAAAATACAGTGCTGATTTTTGGTAGTTGGGTCCTTGGTTCGGCTGACCCTGGTGTAAATAAATAAATATATATAGATATAATATTATATACAATATATATATATACGATGTGTACAATACATTGGTATATGTATTATATTACTAATGTATATATAGTATATATATGCATTATATGTATTATGTATGTTTTTGATATTATGTATATATTACTATGTATTATGTATTTTGTATATGTTGTAAACATTATTAAATATTATATGTATAATATTCAAGGTTAAATATATTGAATCATAAATACCACTTTTGAACGTAGCTAGGGGATGTGGGAAACTAGCAGGACTAATGTTTCGACAATTATAGCATTACAATGAGTCAACTGAAATATGTCACATGGAACGCAATCCAAATTCTATCTTTGGGGTGTGTCATTGTTGTAATCAATCAGTAACCAAATAATATCGTTTTAAACTACTATTGCAAATCTGAGTTGCCAAACTTGGGCCCTTATTTTACAGGTCGAAATATCATCGCAGATTCAACCCTGCTGCGTGCTTTAATCAAGGTTACAAACGAAGATCCAGAGTCAGATGGATGGAGCGAAGCAAAAGCGTGGCCCCCAAACAGAAAAAATGTGAAACATTTACTTACTCTATTATAATGTGTTCTCACCCCTCCTTGCGCTTAGGTTGCTTGAAGGGATGGGCATTTTCCAGTTCGCAAAGTCGGACCCCTAGCTTCAAAGTAGAATCCCCAAACTCGAGCCACGCATTGCGCACCTGCTCGAGGTCTCGCATGCCAGGTCAGAACATGCCTGGCAGGGCAAAGGCAAAGGCTGTCCCAAAACCAGGGGCAAAGGCCAAGGCGGTGCCTAAGGCATCCGCTGCGCCACCCAGTAGGAGGGCCACTGGCAAACAGCCAGCCAGATAGTTCTTTTTTGGAAGCGAAGTTTCAATTTCCACTTTGGATTGTTCCAGTTTTTTCAACAATTCAATTGTGAATTTGTGAGCGTGCTTTGACATTTTCAGTTGGAACAGCCAGTCTATGTTACCAATATGGCCCAAGCGCTGGGACATCAGCGCAATTAAGCTACCTCTTGGACCGAGTTGTATGACAACTCAGTCACTGGCGCACGAGTTGTGCCCCAATTATTTGCTGCTGCGACAAGATGCAAACCGGGGGAAAACAAAATCTTCTCTCTTTGTTTATGCCAGAGAAAGCCCAACATGATAATACACAGGCTGAACCAAATTTTTTGCTTTCAGGCAGCACTATTGTTGCAAGCTTCGCCTTTCCTAGCCAGGTGGCCCCAACACTGGAACCTCTGCTCCAGAACCTCTTCTACTCCATTTGGCCGAGACGATGGGGGATGGAGTTGGTCCCTCAATGTTTTGATTTGATGTCCAGCTAATTACCAGCTAAACTAGGATTACCCAATCAGTAACCCATGGACTCAGCCGACACAGTTGACCCAGCCCAACAATCTTGCCCAGGCCACCGCAGTCAGCGCGAAGCGAGCAGTGCTGGCTGTTGACAACAAGCCTGACGCCAATCCATGCAATGCGGAGAGGGACTTTGAGAGGTTGTGGCAGAGGAAGGGTTACACCATACCCATTCCTATTCACCAAATGGATCATCAAGATGCAACTTCTGAAACGGGTCTCTTGAGAACACACCATGTCAAACCTCAAGATTGGGTTAAATACTGGATGGATACCTCGCCTGAAACTATTGGTGGCTGCAACAATGATGCTGAAACAAATTTTTCAGCGTTCTGGGCTTTGTATCGGCTACAACACCCTGAGCACAAGGTGTTCCAACAACATGGGGATCGACTCCATAAAGTGGTTCCACTGTGCATTCATGGAGATGAGGGCCGGGCAGTGAAACGAACGAACTTCTTGGTTTGTTCGGTGGAGTCTGTTTTGGGTAGTGTACAAGATGGTCGAGTTAGCCAGGGATGCTCCTGTGAAGCTAAGTTGATGTCAAGGCCTTCGATTCCGACCTACGAACCGGACACACCTCCACCTGCCATCGATCCCAACATGCTTCGGGTTGCTGCTGAACAGTTAACCAACTTTAAGGGCCACTCATACTTATCAAGAATGTTGATCTTTGGAGTGGGAGGATGGGTATACAAAAAACATCCACACATCGTTGATGCCCTTTTTGAAGAGCTGAGCATCAACATGACCGATCTGTTTGAAAACGGTGTGAAGGTACAGAATGGTGATACCTACTATGCGGCCTGTGTGGCCGTAAAAGGTGACATGGACTTCCATGCCAAAGTCATGGATTTGTCTCGCTCGTACAAGAATGTTGGTACCAAGAATCGTTTGGAAATTTGTCACATGTGCCGTGCTGGTAGTAATCGCCAGTACAGCTTTGAGGATTACAGGGAGTCCCCAGAGTGGCTTTCCACACTTTTCCAGTCAAGACCATGGAATACCGACAGCCCGCCAAGCCTTTGCCAGATTCCCTTTGATGACCAATCTCCAGAGCGCATCCTTCAGGGAGACACTTTCCACTTGATCAAGCTTGGCATAGCAAGGGATGTCATTGGGGGAGTACTGATCCTACTTCTTCGTTTGAAATTCTTTGACCATGAAGGTTCGCCAACCAACTTGGATAGCAGATTTCAACGTGCCCACTCATACTTTGCACTCTGGTGCCGTGCCACAGGCAAGACTGCGGGGCTTCGGTCGTTTACCCCGTCATTTTTCAACATGAGACACGGGTTGATGTCAGCCCCGTGGGCAAGTACCAAAGGATCTGACAGCATCCTTTGTCTGGAATGGCTTGTGTTTACATTGAACCAGCAAATGGCAAATCCTACTGTGGCAGGACATGACAGGATGTTGAAGCAAATGCACCAAGTCTGTGAAGCATGCTTGGGGGTCAACATGGTTCATTCCCACGGGCTCTGGCTGAAGCGAACCTGTGCCAGGTTACTCTATGGTCATTTCATGACTCTGCTTCGTGGCTATGCGCTTCTGGGACAAAAAGCCCTGACCCTGAAGATCCGGGCCTTCATCCAGAAACCAAAGTGCCACGGTGTCCATCACATTGCAGTAAGCCTGAAGCGCCAACTGAAATTGGGGGTGCCCTTGGTTTTGTCACCGCAGGCATTTGCTTGTGAAATTTGTGAAGATTTCCTAGGCAGGATCTCTAGACTTTCTCGCAGGGTGGGATTTAGATTATGCCACCTTCGAGTAATTCAGCGCTACTTTCTCAAAGTGTCAGCTCTAATTCGAAAGCGAAAAGATCAGAAGCGAAAGAAGAGATGAAAATCAGAAGACATTGTTCAACCCGTCTAGGAAGCCATTGTGGGATTGCAAATGTGCTCAATCTGAGGGCCACACATGGCTCCATTCCAATTCCGTCAGCTAATCGGACTGCTGCTTTGTGTTGGGTTTGCATGGTGTGAACTTGGAACATTTTGGGGCAATTTTTCCTTAGGATTTCTGAAGTATGCATCCCCCTATCCATGCCATTCAACACCTGAAGTGGATGTCAAAACCATGGAAACTGCACTTTTTGTCAAAAGTGCCTCAGGCTAAATTTTCAACTCGGGCCAAATTTCCTGGATCGGGCTAAAATTTCAGCCTGAATGCATTCAGACCATTATTATGGCCTGAGGATTTCCTAGGTATAGACGTCTCCATTGTCACATTTCAAAAACGTTGTAATTGGTTGCATATAGCAATGTGATTTCATGTAATTATATCATACATATATACAGATAAAATATACAAATTATACACCTTATGCTTAGTCATTTGTGATGTTTTTTGTGACCCACATGATCACATGTCCACTCAGAGTCCACCTTTTGTCTCCGAAGTCCTCAATGAGGACTTCGCGCACAGAATAAGCTGGTGCATGTGGAGGATGTGGTTTTCAAGAAGGTGTTATGTGAGACCTTAAAAAGTTCCTCGGCATGGCATCTCCGTTGGGAAGTGTTTGGTAGCTGATGGATGGTGAAAAACAATGTGAAACACATGTGGAAGGTGCCTATATTTCTCAGGGGAGAAAGCAGAGAAAGCATCAGGACAGTTGATATTTACCGAAATGTCCCATCTTTGGATGGGGTACCCCAAATTTCAGGGCATGCACAAATACAAGTTGCAACAACCAGAACACACATCCATGAGGACATACGCGCGAACAGCACTTTTCCTGCGTGAATTCTCGATGGACTGTTTGTTTTTAGCATTGAATTGAAGCCACCAACCAGATCTTGGTGTATCCCGGGTCTGGATTTGGGATCCTTCTTCAACTAGATCAACCTTGTTTGGATCGTTGAATAGATGAGATTTCTGCATGGAGGAAATAGCATCCCACCGAAGACTGGTGTAGCATTGCCATTGACCTACCTGATTTTGCGTCCAGACATGTACCCTCTGGTCAACATAGCTATCAAAAGTAATAACTCTTCAATTTTTTAATGATAAATCATCCATATGGTATAGTCTATATTTAACCATTTTCCATCATATGGCAAATTACTGGAGGGTGTATCTCTTCATTTTCCTCGTTAGTGGCTGAGGTATCTTGGGATCGGCCCCAGCCACGGCCCAGGTACAGTATGCGTCGCCGACTGGAAGGGACAGACAGTGTCTGAGCGACATTGGGTTGTGAATGCGTGAATGCGTCCCGTAGAAAAGTTGGAAACTCGGAAATCATGGAGAAGACATAATTAATTCATCATAATTGCTATAGCATCTTGGAAATAAGTTGCTATCTTTTTGGGGGTTACTAGGAACACTTGTTCCTATGACTTAGAGTTGCCAGGAGATTTCTGGTTCAAGACTGACTTTTGGTCCATTAGAGGTGCCGTAACTTTTCTGTTCCCATTGGGCGCCCATGTAAAGGGGTCTCACCGAATCTGTAGTAATCCCCAGGAAGATAGAAAAGGTTGAATGTAGCCATTAGTAACACATAGTAGCACAAAAATAGTAAGCAGGTATTTTTAACTTTTAATATCCGTTTGTGGGTTGCTATATATAGATCCACTTGAAGTTTGTGATCCACATCCCAACAAGATCAAAGCGATGCCATCCAGTCAGACTTCATTTTGCGATAGCCTCGGTCAATACATCCTGTGTTGCTGATGATGATACGTATATAGATATGGCAATGGATGGCAATGGTTAGCTAGTTGACAGGAGATCCTGACACAACTACAACCTACTTATGATCGCCAGTCCGTCATCCGCCCAATCCACGGGAGCTCATTCTTTGGAGCGTGGTCAACGCCCGCAACATTCCCGAGGAGACTGACTCCATTGCTCATTTGAGTACCTCACAACATCCGTATACATGACTATGACGCAAAGATCCTTATCCATTCAGAAGAGTTTTGTTTAAGAAGAGAATACCCCCAAATTCCAGGCTTTATCATCAATACCACCATCAAAATTGCCCATGTTGGGGCTTGCCCCATGCTCCGAACATGTTTTCTGAGGTTGTAGCGAAGCGAATTAAGCCAAGTCTATTCAAAAAGGCACGGGGCCGTCACCGTCTCCCGGAGGCGACTTACCAATGGATGATTTGGATTCTAAAATGCGATTTCCGGTTGCCATCGCCCATCGCCATCGTTACCGTTATATATATATACATATTTATATATATATATACATATGTATATATATATGTATATATGTAATTGTACAACTTATACAGTATACAGCACACATGTTTACTTGTGTAAAAGAACAAGACATGTTTTACTTATCTACAATATATATATATATATACATAATTGCACAATCCATTGAGTTGCATGGTTCCTAACTTTCAGAATAATCACCAGCAGAACGGTCCGCACGGAATCAGGGTGATTTGTTTGGCACGGGGGAACATAACAGTACCATACAGTGCCAACATATGCCATTATCAGCATCACATGTTTTTATATATACATAAAAAGATTGAGAAGCATTGATCTATATTGGTTTACTAATTTATACAAGATAACTAGTATGTATATCTAACTATATATGTATATCATTGTATATTTAATTATGTATATCTAACTATATGTATCCACAGTATGTGAATATAATTGAGTGTATTTTGGGTCGTGTTCAATGTTCACTTAGAAACTTGTAATCCACAGCTGATGCCTATCTAGGCAGATCCTGAGAGCGCCGAGACTCGTGTGACTTGGCGATTTTTGTTGATCGATCGGATCGCCAGAAAGGGGAAGCATTGATGTCAGGGAATGAATGTCTTTGTGTTTTGTTTGTTCCTTGGTGTTTTTTCTTGAGGATGTCCTGAGTTAAATTGAGGATGCCTCCGGAAATTAAAACAAATGGCGACCGCTCGAAAATGCCGGAACTAGCCATGGAGGTCACTAGTTCTCTGGTAAAATGATCGAAGTCACCGGTACCACCGGAGAGAGACCTGGAATGGCCGTCAGCAACATAAGGACAGCATGAATGCTGCTGTCCAACACGATAGTCAGATACCCCATTCCCTAATAATCAAGTACCCCCTTGAAATTCTGATTTAGCAGTGGATATATTGCTATTGATTTTTAGAATTCCCTGAGCGGGAGGAATTTAATATTAGGGATGTTGCTAATGAATGCTGTATGGAGTGTAACTATACTATGGCTGTTATATAAACCATGGGTAGTACAGTAAGATAGTAAACTCTGAGTGTATCTACCAACAAAACAGTGGATAAGATTAATATGACCAACCTAAAACAGCCATTTTCGGGGGATTTAACCGACAGGAGATGCAATTATCAAAGGGGCTTTGTGGTTGGTGGTTCCAGGATCTGTTGTTTTATCGCGCCACTGGGATGCTAAATCACCACCTGGTGAGTAGCTTCAAACATGTTTGGTTTCAAACCCACTGGGGATGCTGATGCTCACTTGACTGATGTTTTTCTTGCTCAGGGTTAAAATGCAACTTGTGTATACTTGTGTGGTATAGGAAAGCTAGACTTTTCAGGGGTTGACTTTAGGGGGTCTTTTTGCAAGAAGTCTCGTGTTCAATTGTTATTTCTCATGATACCCTCTGGTAAACTAACATAGCTATGGAAAATCACAATTTTTTAATGGGTAAATCCACTATAAATGGCCATTTTCAATAGCTATGTTAGTTTACCAGAGGGTACCAAAGGGGATTCGTTTAGATGTTTCCCGGCCCGGAATTTGATGCATTGAATTGTCGTATTTGAGTCACAGGGCCACAGACTGCAATAAATTTCAATCCATCATCAACTATCATCAACTATCATCGACTATCATCAACTATCATCAACTATCATCAACTACATCAACTACTATCAACTGTCAGCAGCTATCATCGACTATCATCGACTATCATCGACTATCATCGGCTATCATCAACTATTATAACTATTATCAACTGTCATCGACTATCATCGACTGTCATCAACTATCATCGACTATCATCGACTATCATCAACTATCATCAACTATCATCGACTATCATCGACTATCATCAACTATCATCAACTATCATCAATTATCATCTAAGTAGATGGTATCTAATGGTTATCTTCAAAGCATGGAGCTCAAATGGCAGTTCTTTCTGGCTTACATTGTGACCCATGTGTCTGCAAAAGTCAGGAAGAATGTCACAAGATGTCACCAGATCTGTGTCGAACTCCGATTTGGATATGAATTTTGGTGCCAGATCGCGTCACCCATGCCATGTATCGCGATCATGTGGGGCATCGGGGCATCGCGATCAGGAAACATCAGAGCGGGAGATGATTCACGAGCTAAATCTCCTTTCCACGATCAGCCATCCGCGTATTCTGGGTATGATTGGTGCTGGTTTTGAGAGGACCTGGGGCTGGGGCAGATGGGTGCCTTTGCGACTTGAGGTTGTATGGATTTGTATGTCATTGCATTTTGTTTCCTTCATTTTCCCTGGAAACAATATGGTTGAAGCAAGACATGGTCGTTGAATGATCCTATAATTTATCCAACATAATGGTTTATAGTAGTCCCGAAAAGATAGAACACTAAATTCCTACTAAAATATTAATAAATTACTTTTCTTTTTTTTGGGGGGGTTGCTGTAGCTGCTATATATATATATAATATATATCTATATATATATGAACTTCTATTATCTTTTACTGCCTCAAACGTTTGATGTGTTGATACCCCCGGTAAGCTGACAATTCTTCTGTCCCAAAGTCCAAAGTCGCATTGGGACCGCCAGCGGGAGCACCCCATAGCAAAGTTCAGCATTGTGATTGTCATCGGCCAATGCCAACAAGATGTGGAAATTGGCTGGTTTCTTCCTAGTTTTCCATATTTCTGCAGGTTGTTTCCATGTACACGTAAATTTGCCAAGGTTGTTTATCCCACATGTATTCAAATAGGTTGCAAAGGCGGTGTTGTCTTTGATTTCCAGAGTTGGCTTAGGTGAATATTTACAGAAAACTTGGGTTGATAATCATGGTGTCCTGTAAAGATTCCTCCTAACCTATCTACTTGTAGGTTCTGGAACTCCTCTCCAGCTGTGCGTTCCTTTTCAATCTTTCTTTGATGGGGACCCCATCAACCATGTTGGTGTTTTGCAAAACGATAGTTGATGGGATGGTACGAAAATGTGAACTCCCAGACATTATACTATACTTATAAATGTAATTAAATTACATAGAATTATTATGTACTTTAATGTTAGATTGTATCAAACCCATATAGTACTACAACATATTTCTAATCATTCAAGTATAGTCGATATTGTTTTGCCCACGCAAATCAACCCTCGATCGGAAGACCCCACTTGATCTCATCTCACCAAGCATCAGATTCCATTGCACGACCATTCAATCCGTGTACTACGTGGAACAGCTCTTTGAATGTTTTAAGATCCGTCGATTCCAACGTAGGGGATGTCCATCATTCATAGATGATAAATCCACCGTTTGTAGATACTCCATTGTGAAAATGGATGGCGCTAATTTTTGAAATGCGCCATCTATAGACCACTTGGGGGATGGGATGTTTTGCGCCATTTATAGGTTCCCAGCACATGTGGTTGAAAACAACCTGTTTTCCTCCAGGTTAGTTTAAACATAGTATTAAGATCTGGGGTCCATTTTTTTGAGGGAAAACCATAACTTTGGATTGCGCCATCTATAGGTTACACCTGCGTTCCATTTGTAAAGGGAAAGGGAAAGGAGGAGGGAAAGGAGAAAGGAGAAAAAGGATAGGGGAAAGGGGAAAGAAGAAAGTGAAAGGGGAAAGGGAAAGGAGAAGGGGAAAGGAGAAAGGAGAAAGGGGAAAGGGAAAGGAGAAAGGAGAAAGGGGAAAGGGGAAAGGGAAAGGAGAAGGAGAAGGGGAAAGGGGGAAGGGAATGAGAAAGGAAAGGAGAAAGGAGAAAGGGGAAATGGGGAAATGGGGAAATGAGGAAATGGGGAAATGGGGAAATGGGGAAATGAGATGATTTCCGCATTTAAATGGGCATTTAAAGTGGATATGTCGGATATGTTGGTTCCCTCCAGCGGGTGGCTGCGACGCAGGAGCCAGGGACCGATTTTTTTGACAGAACACATGGAAGGCACCGCCAGGGGAAGTGCAGATGGCCAGGATTATTCAAATGAAACGTGGTACTTGGGAGTGCAGCTGGTGTTATTCTAATGGGTCAAGTAGGGTTACAGCTAGCAGTTGGCATATAGTAGTGATCACTTCTCAATTGGAACTCCACCTTTCAAGGATACACCTCCAATTGAGATGGCGGCTCTAAGAAACCATTTCTGGCAAGCCATTCAAATTGGTTTAAGATTGGGTTAAGCCTATGTCTCAATATGCAAGTCGCGCAAGTCATGCAACTGGAGCAGCCCCGCAACACCCGTTTCTTGTCCAGTGACTTTGTAAGGGGTTCGCGTGCGGAAATTAGCCAAGGGGAAAATATCGAACATTCAAAAACGAGAATATGCGGGGTCCCCAAAAATTTTCCCCACTGTGTTCAAAAACTTCCGGTTTGTATATCCAGTTCTGAAACATCAAACATCCAGTTCCTCACGGTGATCATGGCTAGGTGGGGACGTGGAGACATACATGCGAAGACAACGAGAAACTTCGTTGCTTGGAACCGCCAACGGTTGCCAGTGGTGCGGTTGAAAAGGGGGAAAGATATAGGGCCTAGCTTAGAATATTTAGCATAGTTTTTTTATTGAAATTAGCTAAGTTGGTTCATAGCTCCCATGACCGTTGGATTTACGATATAGTCGATATATATATATATACATATCGACCTTAGTAATGGGGGTAACACCAACATGGCCCATCGTTCGGGCGCGCTGGACATTTAAATAGGCGCTCGCTTGGAAGGCGCCGCCATGATTTAGTGACAATGGATGACAATGGTAGTAGTAATAGTAACATCTATGGATATCCGGATAATTATATTTATATATATACTAGTAATTACTAGTATATGATTATATTATTTACCAAAATCCTGCCACAGTACAATTTCCCTCCAACCCGGACGTTGCTCCACACCTCAAGAGAATCATCATCATCATCATCATCCTCATCATCATCATCATCATCATCATCATCTTCATCTTTCTGGTGCTTGATAGGGACTGGGGGAATGATCCAAAGGATCCAATCCATATCCTCAACTTATCTTCATGACGGGATCAAACTTTGCCACCCCCCTCTGACTTATATGTTGATGATAATAAGAACATGAACTTACCTTGCTGAGGGATCAAAATCCACCACCCCCTCTGACTAATACGTTGGCAGGGATCATAACATCAACTTATCTTCCTCAGGGATCAAAAATTGGCACCGCCTCTGACTTATATGTTGATGATAGTAAGAACATGAACTTATGTTGTTGAGGGATCAAAATCCGCCACCCCGTCTGACTACTACGTTGACAGGGATCATAACATCAACTTATCTTCATAATGGGATCCAAATTTGCCGCCCCCTCTGACTTATATGTTGAGGATAATAAGAACATGAACTTATGTTGTTGAGGGATCAAAATCCGCCACCCCCTCTGACTACTACATTGACAGGGATCATAACATCAACCTTTCTTCACAATGGGATCCAAATTTGCCACCCCCTCTGACTTATATGTTGATGATAATAAGAACATGAACTTACCTTGCTGAGGGATCAAAATCCACCACCCCCTCTGACTAATACGTTGGCAGGGATCATAACATCAACTTATCTTCCTAAGGGATCAAACATTGGCACCCCTCTGACTTATATGTGATGTAATATATGATATATGTGCTATGTACTATTATATACTTCGGCCATTTCTGATTCCGACGCGGAGCAACGTAGGGGTTGCAGCGTACAATTTTAAGAAAGGTATCTGGATAGATATACTAATTCACCAACCTGAAGTAAGCCTACTTGAGGACAGTTATGGCCATATAAACCTGCATTCCACGTCGCCGTCGCGACGTGAGGTTGCTATCATCTATCCCGGGGTATACCTGATTGTCACAGATCGTAGCCATGTTTGTTATGGCAGTTATGGCCCAGAAGAGTGACAAGGGAATACAGTTTCAAAGATTGGCCGAGGGTCCTTTCACCACAAAGCCCGTTATGATTGGCACATATCCCGCCACAGGATCCTGGATGAGGAATCAAAACTTAGAGATTGGAAGTGAGTGAAACCATCTGGATATGGTGACCTTCTAGCCTTCTAGCCGACCTTACCAGAAATGAATAGACATGATGGATAAAGATTATGTATGCCACCAATGTCTTTGCCAGAACTCAACCAGATGGTGTGAATATCCCCATGTTTGCGCAGTCCAATCCCCAAGTTTCAGCATTGTTTCACCAGGGTTTTCTCAGATACGTCCCATTTTAATCCATGTTGTGGGGGAATGGTGGTTGAATACGTGTTGTCGAGATTCTGGTTGAAATTGCATGTTTTTTCATCTTTGTTCATTGCGGTCAACTCTTCAGGGCCATGGCACGGATCGGTGTAGGTGCATGTAACAGATTTTAAGCAAGTACGTGTATATATATATTATATATATATATATATCATGTATATATCATATTAATGTATGTATACATACATATATATATATACATTCTATATATGTTAATGACATTATCACATTATGTGTATGTAATATATATATATATATGTATGATACACATGGTGTACTAACTGTAACATGTACTAACTTTATCAGGTAGACAAGTCGATTTCTGGAAGTCCCTTAGATGTCCCTTCGTCGGCGACTTCGTAGGTTGGATCAGCAATTTAAGCCGCGATACTCGTTGGCCATACAGTGGATTGAATCCACAGCTGAGGCCGCCGGTGGAAAGCTGGGGATTTTATGGTGAGTTAAAGCTCAAAAAAGGGGGAACCTCTAGATAGGTAAGGTGATGAATCTATATTTAATGGTAAATCTCTGGAGAAATGATGGAACATGGTGGAATTATTGGGAAGACCATGACATATCTTGACATTGTTTGACATATTTTGATAGATTTAATCCGATATCCGGACCTCACGTCGCGACGCTACTGGAATGATGGTGAATGGGGTATCCCGAAATGGTTGGACATTTCAGGTTAGTGAATGATTCTAATTATCATCATTTATCCAGTGAACCATGCCATAACCATGGGGCTATGTAAATGGCAATATCTCCATGAAATATCCCCAATGGTAAAATTCATATTTTCAATACATCCCACTATACCACCATGTTAGTTGATTAAGTTAATTGGGGATATATTGTCAAAATGTTACTTAGTTCATATTTTTAATAACATTTTGGGTTATACCATCTCAAGATTTACTGTTAGAAAAAAAAAGTTGCAGGCTATGCAGCAAGGTAAGCCGAGATTTTCGTTGGGCTGGGGTGGCTCCTTGTGAGCGGAAGTGTTTTTTGGGTCGTTGTGATCAACCCTCCAGAAAATTATCATAGACCCTGCCAGATAGGGATTGGAAGATTAGGTCCATTAAAAAAATGTTATTTTCAGGGTCTATGCATTATGTTAATTTTTCCAGAGGGTAAGTTTTGATCCACCACTGATTCACACTTTTGATGATATTGTATGAATCGTATGAATCTTGAGTAATTATGCAACAATTGAGTTCTCAAGTATAAAAATAATGTTCGATAACAACAGTGACCATCAAACATTCTGGTTGATATGCTGATATGTTCAATGTCAAACCATCACTTCTGAAGAATGATGATTTGGACCAATCCCGAGTTCAAGGACTTGGGACCCATTTTTTCGATGAATTGTTGCCATGATTCGGACTTAAATACAGGATGAATCAGGTGCATTTCACGGTTTCAAGGATGATAATGATGATTTATAAGGATGATTTCAGGCCAAAACGCTGCAGGCAGGAAATGGTTTTTTTCTCATCACATGCGGCCGCATTGCAGAAATTGTCTTTGAATACAAGCCTAGAGAACCATCAACAAACATGTCAATTGGATTGTACATGATTGTACTATGTTTTGGTGCAAATATGTTGCACAACCCGAAGGGCCGCAGGGTGAAAGCTGTGAAAATCCAGGCCCTCGCCTATCTTCATGGCTTGCCACAGCCGATCATTCACCGCGACCTCAAGCCGTAGCTTGGTCATGGCCAACCGGGAGCGCTTGCAGATGCAATGCGATACTCATGGGACAAGTCATTCCGCTAACAAAAATGATGGCATAATGGGTATATAATGGTATATAATAGGAATATATAGGAATGCAATGGGATATTAGGGAATATTTAATGGGATAGTCATGAAATATTAGTTCATATACCCTCTGGTGTCATCAGACGTGGCTTGCTGGGAAATCCCCCGAGCTCGATGGATGTAATATAGTCCTGAAAATCATGGAACCAAATGGGCAATTTTCCATTGCCATGTTTGATTACCAGAGGGTAACTGGGAGATATTTGTTCACTATATGAGCGACGGCTCTTATTTGCGTATATGGAAAGTAGTATTCGGATGTACCCCGGTTTGTCAAAAACATTATATTTAGCTTGTAAAACGAGGTAGGAACACCCCGAGAACGAGGTAGGCAAAAACGTTACGGGACTGGAGAACGAGGTAGGAACACCCCGTCAATTGCGTTATGTAACAAATATGGTCCGCAGCTCATATAATCTTTGGGAGATAAAAACAAGTTTTGTTAGGTACCACCTATATGGGGATAAGATTAAGATATTGCTATCTTCGGATTACCTGGTTGATTCCAAATATTGCTTTAACCAACCATATGTTTTTATAGGATTGAACAACAACGAACGGAACGATAGCCAGTTATCGTTTATTTTCAGCCATAGGAATGGGATGATGATAAATCACGTTCACTAATATTGTTTCAGGCTGGGTGAAACAACCAACCAGTTTAGGACTTTAATCTGTCGCTATAAAATAAATGGAGATATGAGATATATAAATTCGTAGTCATCTGAAAAGAAAAATTCTTTTGGTATCTGAGATTGGACATGATATGATGGCCAAAATACCAATGATTTTCACCATCAAACAATTGGGTAATTGGGATACAAGTGAGAAATGATGGTCGGTTGATGGTTAACCAGTTGTCAGTTGCGGGGTTGTAGCTATGTTGTACTATAATGTGCTATATATAGAGTGGTTCTGGGACAGTGAACTAATCTATGCACTGGGACCTCCGGTAGTTAACCAGCCACGAAAAAAGCCAGTATTTATGGAAGATACCAACGAAGAGGGCATTTCACATGCGGATGTAGCATGGTTTCTGAGGATTTATCAGTGATGCATTGGATCGGAGAATTTCATGAGAATATCTTGGGACATTCTGGGGTACCCTCTGGTTATGTCAAAATAGCTATTGAAAATGGCCATTAATAGTGGATTTTCCCATTAAAAATGGTGATTTTCCATAGCTATGTTAAATTACCAGAGGGTATCAACATGTATTTTCATGGGTATATGTTGCCAATACTACTTGGAAGTAGAATCGACGAATGGGGATTTCCAACGCACATAATACAACAATTTTGGCAAATGGCCTTATTTCAGTTATTTTCAAGTTGGTGAAGTATTAAAATTAAAATTCAGCCGGCTGTATCGTGGAGTATCACGATCCATGGTGGAAATTGCTATTGAGTAACCAGCCAGGATTAACTGGAAACAAACTGCGGGCTTTGCTCGCACTGCGAAAAACTGGAGGTTGAACTTGTTGCTGACCAAAGACCTTCAGCTCAAGGCAGGAACGTCTCCCCACTGCTGAGTCTGGTAGGTGAACATAGCTTAGAGATGCTTTGCATACCGTAGGGTCAAAATGCCGAAAAATGTGGAAAACTGATAGTTTCCTTAGGACAATGATTTATAAAATGATGTGTTCTCCGCATCTATGTTAGTTTACACTAGGGTATTTTTGTTGAGCCCATCTTTTGTTCAGCCAACCTTCTGTTCAGCCAACCTTTTTGGCTGGGTACCCAAGATTGGCCAATGGAGAACATGGGAGGATATAATTTAAAGAGGCTCGAAATGCGTCACGTAACACCCTAGTCAATCTCAAAGCATCTCAAAGCTCAACGATCCATTTTTATGTTGTTCAATGGTGACCAATACAGCCTGGTCAGCTTGGTGATCCCGATCCCACACCATGGAGATGTAGCTTTACTCTTTGGATCTCTTTGGCCATTTGGACGGAATCTTCAAACCCACCTATTCTATACCATGTATAATGTATAATGTATATACATAATGTAGGCACAGCTTCTGTGTCTTGAAGTTGGATGTTAACCCAGATGTTGCACCATGTATAACTCTTGTGAGCTGTCTTCTTAGGTCCCAAACATCTAACCTGCAACCTCGCAAATTTGCCAAATTGATGACTTTTGCCACTGGAGGCTTGCAACTCTGGGGTTGTCGCGTTATTTGTGGGATTTAACCAGCAATAAACGGTGATATTACATGATATTACTATATATTACTATCACATGCAGGTTTGGTGGCTGTTTCCATACAAGGTGGTGAAACCCCATTTGGTGTTTGTTGGTGTCTTACCCATCTAACTTATAATATGAGAATCATCATTAACCCAACAGTGAACCTAGTCAGTTACACCTACTTTGCCAACTGATCGTTGAGGTGGACACCCACCTTACAGGGATGATGGTGAACTATCAAATGTAATGTCATGTCAAGCCTGGATTAATATTTAGCTCTATGGCTGTTCAATTTCGGTACCATGTGAGTGGTCAATGATCGTTGTTTGGGTCTCTGAATTGATCAACCCGGGTAGGTTACCGACCTGGGCATTAGCAAGGCACGGACACGTCATCCGCGGCCCGGGTGGGGGGCACACCAAAATTCGGAGAAACTAACCAACTCTCATGACCATGTCAAAGTTGTGTGAAGTATAATGATCGTCAATCTATGCATCTATGTGAATATATGATATAGTATGGGGCTTTCCTGAAATAGAGGTACCCTCAATTCATCCATTCTAAGTAGGATGTTCATGGATTTTCCATTATAAACCATCCTAATATTGGGGCACCCACAAAATTTGTGGAAAACTCCATTAATAACAACTAATTATCATGACCAGAGCCCTCCAAACTCTGGTTGAGCCTTCTGGTTGGTTAAATCACACACAGATTTCGGTGGGTTGAAAAATCACCATATAAATCGCGGTGATTTCCAACTCAAAAGAGGATGAAATGGATGAAATGGATGAAATGGATGAAATCCCAAGGTTTTGTTGTTCAACCAGTGAAAAATCTCCATCGTTTCACATTTTTTCTGGTGAATCCCTGGCTTTCCGACGTTCCTATCCATCCGATGAGGTGATGCAAAGCACAAAGCACAGTGCTTCAACGCCCAAAAAGATGACGGGAGGGGTGAGAAGCCCAGCGGTTTTTTGGGCATCACAGTGCCATTTCTGGGAAAGAACCATGATGATGTTGGCTTAGGGGATTTTTACAACTCTGAAAATCAGGGTTTATGGGGAATTTGATGGAATTTGTCAGTATCGATGTTTGGTTTTCAGCACTGCTCGCAGGGTGATTTGCCACACACAGGATCCAGGGGACCACGTGGATTAACGCAACATGGGCATAGATACAGGAAATTGGGAGTGGAAGGATCTGTATCCTTCTGATTGTAATTTTCACAAAATGTGTTTCAATAGGACTTCCTAGACTCTCCAAGTAATTGAGAAATATAATTATTTCATATTATTTCAATTTATTTCATATATCGGTACTTGAAGAAACTCGGTCGTTTGGTTTACCCTCTGGTAATTTAACATAGCTATTGAAAATGACAATTTATAGTGGATTTTCCCATTAAAAATTGTGATTTTCCATAGCTATGTTAGTTTACCAGAGGGTAAGTGAAACTTGAAAGGATCCCCAGCACCCTTTTTCTTCGATGCCGGAAAGGTCCCATTCCTGGAAAGGTCCCACCGATGTCCGATGTCCAGGTTGGCACCTGGCGCTATATGGCGCCCGAGGTGGTCAGACACGATGCTTGGTGTCCAGTTACGGTGACTGGATGTGACTGGTTGGGGTTTTTAAGGCAGTTTACCATCTAGTTACCCTCTGGTAAACCTACAAAAAGCTATTGAAAATGGCCCAGTCGAAATAGTGGATTTGTCCATTAAAAATGGTGGATCTTTCCAGTTCGCTATGTTAAATTACCAGAGGGTAGATCTGGTAGATCGAAATTGATGAGATGGAATTTTTGGAAATTGATGAGATTCTCATAGATGATTCATCGGAACCAACGAGACAAGAATTTCTGGATGCTTACGGTGATTTATGGGGATTTTATGGGGATAACCATCAATCTGGAATGACATGGATAACCATCAATCTAGGCAATCTCCTGAACTTTGGTCACCATCAATCTGGAAATGGGATAAGATTTGGGTAAACCTCCCACACACATGATTACTGGTTGGTGGTGGTTTCCATGAATTTCATGACTTTCCCATCATATTGGGAAGGTCATCATCCCAACTGACGAGTTGTCCATCATTTTTCAGAGGGGTTGGTTGAAACCACCAACCAGATTATATTAATGGGTTTGTAATGGGATACAGCATATAATCAACAATATGATCGGGGTTTATATGACCTCACCGCGTCGTCACTGGAATGATGAGGGGAAATGATCCCAAAAAATAGCTGACTTTCCGGGTTAGTGAATTACTATGAAATGTATCCAGATGCAAGGTGGTGGTGCCCCTTGCTAAGTTGGTTTATTTCACTGGCGGGTTTATGGTAGATAAATCGAACTAGGGCCTAACTAGGGGATATAAAACCCAAGCAGGACGGGGATTACTCCACAAAAACCCAGCAACACGGAGATTTGATCTAAATGGAGTGAACAAGCAGCAAATCACTGAAATAAACCGGTAAATTGATGTATGTTTTTGTCACGACAATGGAGGCATCAACGATGGTTGGTTGCTGAGTTAACCGACTGGATTGGTGATCAAACACCAACAATTTGATGGGGTGATCGAACTTCGGCCTGCTCGCCACAGCAAGATTCTGATGATTTTATGTTGAATTTTATGTTGAATAGATGATTTGTTGTTTATCCCCAAGTTCATGGCGAACCTTCGGTATCCAAAACATGTTCTTGCCCAATCAAAATGTCCAAAAAGAGACGCGGGATAATATACCAACCATGAACAATTAATACACGAGAGTGTACTTCTAGTGGGGAACAGGAATGTTTCGGGATGTTTTGGGAATATAAACTATTGGGGTCATATAACCCAGCCAATGTTTCCCATATTTGGAGAAGTATAGTATTAAATACTTGGCAAGTAAATAATAATCTTCTGGGAAGCATTCGCTGACTTCAAAATAATCTATTCGTGATTGAAAAAACACATCATACACTGTCACACTGTGACTTGATCTCTAGTTTTGGAGAACCTACAGTTTCCAGACATGGGATAATACTTGAAGATGCTATATTTTCGTCGCAAAATTGTTGGCTGCCATAATTAATAGCTAAACTGTGGTTTTTCACCAAGGGATTTTGGTGTTTCGCAACATTTAGGGATTTCTTCATTTGGGGGTTGCTTTCCTTCTCAAAAAAAAACACTTCTTGAATGATTTGGGGTCCCCCTTGACAAACCTCCATTTTTCAGACAAACCCATTTAAGTTGGAGTTTTTTGATCGTCCGCATTTCCCAAAAAAATGATTCGAAGATGTGATTTCAGTTGGTTTATTTAAGTTAGACAACGACGTGGCCAGTGGACACCCAGGAACAGTACACCGATCGAGCAGATATCTATGCACTCTCTCTGATCGTGGCTTGGCATGGGAAACAGGCCCTGGAAAAAAAATACCATCGGAATTGCATACAAGGACAATTATTGTGTTTCCCCAGATGATTTGTTTACTTTTCTACCATGTGATGATTCATAGCCAATTGAACAATTGTTTGGGATTACATGGAAGCACCAGTCAGGAACGGCAATCCGCGAAACCAACATGGTTACAGAATGTTACAGAAATCTAACATTTGCCATTAGTAGCTGATTTGGCTGGGTTAACCATGGATTTTCCATATCCACATCTTGCATCATGCAGTATTTGTTGCAACAAATCTGGATGATTCGTTAGATCAAGTCTGGATGCCTCCCACTGCAGCACCTCTGTAGCGCCGAAGTCTGCAAGTCTGACCACTGGGAATTGTCACAGGAAGCGGACCCGATGGGTAACTTGGTTTATAACTAGCCTAACGTTTTCATTTATGCTGGATATATCATGGATATATCTGCAGTTGGATGGCTTGACACAGTCGAACCCCCTGGCGCGTGTTTGGCTCCACCTGAGGGCTACTTCCTGCTGTCGGGGAGGCAACCTTTCGACACCTTCTGTGGTCGGGACGTTGAGAAGATCCTGAAGGCACCTGAAGTTTTTCACCCATTTTGGGCACAAGAATGGCAACATCAAGTATAGCAATATATAGCAATCCCAGATAAGATATGATAAGATCATCCTCCCTATTACTATAGCAAGATATAGCAAGCCCCCAAATGGTAAACACGGTGATCTATTTTTATGCAGCACCAACTTTGCAACTTCTCTGTTTTGAAAAGCAGGGCTCCAAATGGCCCGGTTGGTCTCTGGGGTGCCCCGAATATTCCAATGGAAAACTCTATAAAAATTTAAAAAACTCGATTTCAAGTTTGATTAAATCCCTTATTAAAATTTATAAAAGATATTGCCAACAACTGGATTTCGAAGCTTTCCCCGGATATTCCGATGAACATCTTAATAATTAACACAAATAAAAATAAAACTTATGAGATGGGACCCTAAAAAAAAGCCTCCAGGTGGCAATCTATTTTATTAATAGGGGGTTGAACCCATTGTTTCACCATCCTGTTCTCCTATTGATTCTCAATTACCACAATTAAGAGTCCAATTGTGCCCAACCAAGAAAAACCGGAAGTGCCATACCAATCCTTTTTCTTTATATTTGGGGGAGTTTTAGTAATAGGAAGAAGGGATTAGAAAAATATAGAAAAGTTGGAAACTTGAAAAATGTAAGAAAACATCATTTACACCATCCCAGTAAATGAAGCGTACATCGTACAGAGTACATTGACATCATCCTGTAGCCACAGTAGGTGAATATACGAAACATGCTTGTTGCGGGAAAAAGTCACAAATGGTCTATGCCATAGGTCAGTCACATCTTTTGTGGAAGCTAGAATCACTGAATCACGCATATACTAGCTCCTCATTGCATTTATAATCATAATACCAATTGATTATAAGACGCCTACTCTGGAAAGATGACAACTGGAACGATTCTGGTAGTCAGCATTGTAACTGTCACATTATGTCTAAGACCGTTGGAGAAATACCACATCAACATTTGTCATAGACCGATATAATCCGATATATCTATAGTCTATACATGATTGTCTACGAATAAAAATTTACAGTGTATCAGATAAACAATCATAAAAATTGTCTATTTTTTTTCAGGATGATTTTCTGAGATTAATCTAATTTTAGTACTATTTCTATGAGATAATCCTGGCCTTGGCACCGCATCGATCGGTGTTTTCGGTTTTTAGGCCTACCTGGTGGGCCACGAGCCACGGCCGGAGTTGGGCATCTTTATCGGCTCGATGGAGATGAGAGCCTTCCTGCAGGTGGGGTGGCCTTGGAGTGGGCTTTGAAAAAATGAGGCTGAAGAATCCTGAGGAAAATTTAGAAAAATGGTGAAAGAATGTGATTTGAGGATTTGTGTTTCATGGTTTTTTTGTTCAATGGGGATTTATTGGGAAATCGATGAGATTATGGCGGGGTTTCATGGGATTATATACTTGTTTTAAAGTTTGTAACTTGTTTAGTCCATCCCAGTGAATTCAGTAAGTCGGGGCCATGTCCAGTTTTCGAAAGCTAGGGTGAACTAATGCACTTACTTGCTGAGATGAGCCACCACATGGGGCATATAATGTTGGGTTAGTATGGGTTATATAGTAGTAAAGTAGCAATAACAGCAAAATATAGCAGAGGTCAAAGCCAAACATGTGATTCACAAGCATTATTGCTCAGTATATAGAAAGACATTAACTAGCAATAGGCAATATAGAGTAGTAGCAATGAACAATATAAAGCCATTAATTAATTCATTAATGATGACAATTAGACTTCATAAATTTATAAATATATATATATATATACATATATCATATATTGCACAAATTAGTACATGCACATATATGATGTTTAAGGTTTTGGTTTCCGCAGATGGTATGGGGAATTGAAGTTGTCGGGACCGGGCTTGAATCGAAGCAGCTTTTTTTCAGCTGGTCCTGATGAACGCCACTGATGTGTTGTTGGATTCGGTTTCACACTGGTTGGTGGTTTGGAACATGAATTTCATTTTTCCCATCATATTGGGAAGATATATTGGGAATAATGATCCCAACTGACAGAGTCATATTTTTCAGAGGGGTAGGTCATCCACCAACCAGTCATTACTATTAACCATCATTAACCATATAATAACCATGGTATTAACCATTATTAACAGTATATTAACCATCATTAATGTTCACTATCCAAAAATTGGGACCTGTGAAACTTTGATTCACATCACGTGTTCGGCCCGGCCCATTGGCCCAAGTCAATTTGATCATTTCCCCAGTACCGTTTGGCGAAAGTTTTGATGGCGGAATTCTTATGTTCGTTTGTCAAATCCATATATTTGTCCCTGTTAAATTCCACACTGTGATTGGTTGTGCTGGAATAGTCTGATCCTAGTTGTTCCACATTTGTCCTGGTGAAATCCCAATTTTTCCACTCAATGTTTGATTAAATCCTAGGTTTACCACTTTTTCGCTAGTTAAATCCCCAATTCATATAAGTTGTTCTACCACTATCCCCATAATTAGTTAAAATGTCAATCCCCAACTGTTTTGACAATAGAGTCAACCAAATTAATGGGAACTCCAACATTATTTAATTGCCTTCGGCAAGCCCGCCGGCCACAGAGAGGTGGCCCCAAGGGAGTTTGATGTGCACTCTAGGTGGTTGACCGTATACCAAATGAGTAGCGCGCTCAGCAGAGCAGTATGTATGAGCCTCTGGCTTGACAGCTGCCCGCTGCATGGAAGGAAACAGGGTCAAAGCGGCGAGAGTTTGCCCCAAGGGAGGTTGATGCCTGAAAGAGAAGCAGAAGATAAGAAGAAGAAGAAGGAGAAAAAGAAGAAGAGGAGGAAGAAGAAGGAGAGACGAAGACAGGGGGTAGATCAGAATCAGCTTGAGTAGCAAGCGCGTGCTTGAACAATCGATGGATAGCATACCACATGAGTACCGGTCGATCAGTTTAGTACCGTGTGCGTCCTGTGACTAGTACCAGTAGGCGCCTGCAGTGCTGTAGACAGTCACTGGCACTAACAGGTTAGTACTTGGGGAAGAGGGAAGGAGCGTAGGGGTAGGAGTCGGAGTAGGGGTAGGGTTAGGGGTAGGGTTAGGGGTAGGAGTACGAGTAGGAGTAGGAGTAGTAGTACTAGTACTAGCACTAGTACTAGAAGCAAGACTTGGACTTAGACTTAGACTTCGCTACTTAAATGGAGGGAGGGGGGAGGGGGGTGTACAATTCAGACGAAGCAAAAACGCGTAGCAAGAGAACAAAGGAACAAGTAACAAGTACAAGCCAAGCACAGAACAGGAACAACACCTTCCAATCAGACACGCCCTGCGGATTTTCTATAGAATATCCGCGTTCACTCTCCAACAATTTCAGAATAGATATTCAACCAGGAGCGCTGCGATAACAGGGATATATAAACTATAACAAGCCAACATGGGTTTCTATAGCTTTCTGCAGTACTGGTTAAATCTCCACTATGGTTTATATCATTTATATTCCCATTCAATCCTCCATTGAAACTGCTAAAGTTAAACATGACAATCGTAAATTTCTCATTTATAGATGTTTTTCTCAGCTATAAACCTCTATTTATTTCAGGGAGTTTCCAGCTAGCCATGTTTGATTCCCGGAGAAAAATGCGGGATTACCATGTATAAACCCAAGTAGCCAACATGATATAAAACAACATGTTTACTTCTCTGTGATGGTTTATCTCATGTGTCTATATCTATATACATTTAAAAACATACATATATATATATGTATACATAAGATAATATCCCATTATATCCTCATTGTATCTCCATTAAATCACATGTCTAGCTTGTTAATTAAATCACATTAAAATCCCACTAAATCATCCATGAATTTCCATGACATCCATTATATCCACACCAAATTCATCAGGATGATGCTAATATATCAACCAAGAATAAACATACATTGTGTTCTTTAGCTATATTCAATTATTCCCATGAAATATCCCACTAAATCTTCCTTTTTGTTCCTTTTTGTTTTTTAAGAAATAGTAATCGAAGGAAGTTTAGAAGTCAAACTTCCGACAATATGGACAGATGAAAAGCAGAGATGGGAAGAGTTAGAGAAGAGAAGAGAAGAAGAAAGAGAACGTCTCAGAAGAAAGAAGATCCAGGTGCGTGAAAAGGTAGGAAAGTCGAAAGGCAGGCTCGCTAAAGCGGCGGGTGCGGAGCCAGCTGGCCAGATGAGAGATGAACAATTGCACGCCGTTGTGGCGCGAAGCACATTTCTAAGTCAAAATGTTGAAAACACCACATGTCCGGACCACTTTTGGAAGTTGAGATGTCAAAAAAGTGCACGCCGTTGTGGCGCGAAGCACATTTGCCAGTGAAAAAGATAAAAGCACTCCATGTTCGGAGCACTTTTGGAAGTTGCGATGTCGACAAGGTGCACGCCGTTGTGGTGCGAAGCACATTTCGAAGTCAAAATGTACAAAACACACCAGCTCCGGACCACTTTTGGAAGTTGAGATGTCGAAAAAGTGCACGCCGTTGTGGCGCGAAGCACATTTCGAAGTCAAAATGTACAAAACACATCAGCTCCGGACCACTTTTGGAAGTTGAGATGTCGAAAAAGTGCAACGCGCGCAAACAAAGATCGCCAAGGATGACGATCCAAGTGGACGCGCTTCAAAACTATGCTTAAACAGAGCTAAACATTTGTCAAAATATGTAAAAAAAAAACAGGAAACCCTGTAAAACGATAGGGGGTTCACTAACTTGATGATGCACTTGACGTAAAAAATGAATTTCGACCGTGGCTCATATATACTGATTCCACCGAGGATTTAAATTTTACGGACAATATCTTTATCCTCTCCACTATGGTTTTCTGGAATGAAATATCGTATATTCCCATGAAAATCCCACTAAATCCTCTCCATCGCTCCCGCAATCGTTCTTCAGGACACCTGGCACGTTGAGGCCCCGAAGCGCCCTTCAGCCTCTGAGTGTGTGGCCAGGCCCCGGTGGTGCCTTGCGACTTCAACAAAGAATCCAGGAGAAATATATGGAAAAGATGGGAAAACATTGCGAAATCGCGGGAAAATAGAGCCAAAAAGCGAAAAGGTATGGAACATGCAGGGAAACTTGAATTCTTGATGTGGGTTTCACCTGCAAAGAGTGGGATTTATATGATTTGACCAAGCAAAATGAAGGTGAACTAGAAAAAATGGAGATTCGAGCAATATATATGGAGATTAAGGTTTTGCCAGTAAATAAAGTTATTTTACGCATTATTTAAGAGGGTTTAGCCAATATCAAAATCGGGAATATCATCCAATGTTTATTATTGGTGTTGTTTCCCATGATGTCCAATATAGACAGAGGAGGTTCAACCAACAACCATTGGAGATGCCACAGAGAATCACTAGGAGGATATGGGTTGATGATCCCCTAGTGATTTTGGGAAAAATCCCCCAGTTTCCAAGCACACTGTGTGATGCTGCTGGCTGGCTTTTGTGAACATATGGCAAAGCCTCACTAAACGATTTGAATCTTCATAAATGCAGAAAGTATCTTGCGACCGGTTGCAGTACAGGTATCAATCATGCAAGGATATATCATGATGAACATCAGGAACATGAATCCCTTCCCCCCAAGTTCATTAAAACCACCCCAGAAACCATGAGTTGGTATGGGATTACCATCATCGCCTCTTGGATGGTGAGTAGAGTTCCATGGGGATTTTCAGAGGTGCACTTGAAGATGCCAAGTTAGTGACGTATTACTGCTGGGATGTGACGTTTCCATATATTTCTATATTTCTTTAATATATATATATGGTCCCGCGTCCCGTGTTCCCACCCCCCCCATGGGATGGGGGGGGGGCATGGTGCCCCTGTGGTGGTGGTATGTATGCATGGATGTGTGTATGTATGCATGCATGCATGCATGCATGTATGTATGTATGCATGTATGTATGTATGTATGTATGCATGTATGCATGTATGTATATTTATATCTATGTACATGTTACATGCATTTCTCTATGATATTGTATGTGCACGCACACGCATATATACATACATACATACATACATACATACGTACGTACGTACATACATACATACATACAAACCTACAAACCTACATACCTACATACATACATACATACCTACATACCTACATACCTACATACATACCTACATACCTACATACCTGCATACATATACATACATAGACATACATCGACATACATAGACATACATAGACATACGAAGACATACATAGACATACGTAGACATACATAGACATACATGCATACATACCATACCATACCATTACATTACATTTCATTACATTGCATTACATTGCATTACATTACATTACATACATACCAACATACATACCAACATACATACCAACATACCAACATACCAACATACCAACATACCAACCACCACAGGCCACAGGGGGGGGGGACCAGAAGAACCATACCACCACCACAGGCCTCAGGGGGGGGGGGGGACCAGAAGAACCATACCACCACCACAGGCCACAGGGGGGGGGACCAGAAGAACCAGACGATACTGTCCACCCATACCCATTGGTGGGGGGGGGGTGGCTGGCCAACGCTGCACCATATATATTTAATATAATACAATCAATATATATATATATAATATATATATTTACTGTATATATTATTATAATGTAACATATATATATATATATTTATTATTTATATCATATTATATTTTATTTTATTATATTATATTAGATTATATTGTATTATATTATATTAGATTAGATTATATATGCATGTTTCCATCCACATGGCAAAGAATCAAGTCCCTCCACGACTGCAAATACTCGGCAACCCATGAGGGTATGAGATAGTTGTTGGGCCGTTGGGTGATGCTGTGACCGTCATCACTTCTATGAGATTCCTCCTTAAGAGATAGATGTATAGTATAGTAATAGAGGTATACCAGGTAATCGTAGTATAGATGTATGGTATAGTATAGTATGGTACTTGTTTTGTTTGAATAGAGGTATACCACGTATAGTAATCTCCAAAAAGATGCGGAACGATGAATTCTCACTATTTCAATAGGACTTTACTCTTCTGTCTTTTTTTGGGCGATAACTCTGTATGTATATATGTATCATATTGTACCATATTATATCTATCCATTTTGTTTGGGAAACCCACATCCAACATCACTTAAGTCAGTTGCTGCACATCCATTTGCTGACTATTGACCGTTTGCTCAGGGACAACCCCTTAGTTACCATTGTACTTGAGCATTGTTTCCATAGCACCATACCACTGACTTTGACATGGAACCATCCAGTGAACCCCAGAAATTCGCTGGATTCCTCCAGTGAAAACCAAAGTTTGTGGGGTGTAACAACTTGAATCAAAAACTTTAATCCAATTCACTAGAATGTTTCTCACTGTCAAAAAAAAAAAACATTTCTTTGTGGCTAATTAATTCAGATTCATATCATTCCCCATTTGTTTGTGGGTCATTTATAGGTGGTTTTCCCATTCACGGGGTGGCCGTAGGTGACCCATCCCCCACCCTCGTCCATCGCAGGCTGGGAGAGATTCGACAGCATGGCATCTTGCATTCCGCGCGGGTCCCAAGAGATAAGATGCAGCTGGCGCTTCATAGAACTCACCGTGAGTAAGTTCTATACCCAGTTATTTTATGGGATTTGAATGTGATTTAATTGGGTTTTATTGGTTTTTAATGGATTTTAATGTTTTTTATTGGATTTTTAAAGGAATTAATGGGATTTTATTGTATTTTTATAGTATTTATTGCGACTTTATTGGATTTTAATGGGATTCAATGAGATTTTAGTGTATTTGAATAAGTTTTTTTAAATGTTAAAGAGAGTTCAATTGGATTTTAGTGGGATTGAATTGGATGTTCATTTATTTTAATGGGATTTTATTGGGTTTGAATGGGATTTAATTGGATTGAAAAGGTATAATTTGATTATCCAATAAACCCAAGTGACCCACGTGTCCCAAGTATCCCCAGCGGACTATGTGGACAAAGCTTACTTGGCCAGTTTATGACCAGGGTTAGAAGAAATTAAAACCAACTGGGGTGAACGTAATTTATCGTGTTTATTGCGTCTTCTGATTGAATATCCACCTGAAAAACGGGTGTTAGCATAATCGACTACATTACCAGCATGGATGATTTAGGCATGGATATATGTCAAACTTGGGTGTGAAAAAACATGTGCTTTACAGGCGACCCTGTATAGACCAGAAGCTTCGTTATTGTTTGGCCAGTTGAGGGATGAGAACCACTGTTTTATTCTGTGAAATGTCCAGTTGTATTCCATGATGTGAAATAACTGCTACATGCATTCCAGTATGTGTGGATTTTCATGGATTACAGATCCTGACACACATAGACGAGCCATAGTAGACTAATAGTAGGTGATCTTTACTGGGTCTTATCTTCTTACTTTCAAGGCTATGGGTCAAAACTCATAGAAACATGTGCGATTCACCCCAAAAATAGCTGGGACTTATGGATGTTCACCACCCCCAAACATGGTATGATAGCTTTTGACCCATTCTAAACTCAATGGCCCACCTATGTCGACCGCAAAATAATAAACCCCGGTTGGTTAAATGTCGGACGTGCCCCCAAAAAGAAATCTCACTGTCTGTTCTGTCTGCTAGTGAAACAGTATCCTCAATGATCAACAGCAGGGGGGCGTCAATCCGGGGTTGACAGTTGACATTATCAATGATCTAATGATCAGATATGAAAATGTATTATGATAATAATGTGTATATATATATATCAATGATCATGGGTTATAGTATCCATTGATATCTGGTTGATTACCATTGATATCAACTCTTTACTACATACTTGCAGATATAGTGCATTGTACGCTACTTACAAAGCAGTCACCGCCATGGCTATCGAATCAGCCCGAGGTGAGCTTAATGACCAGGAACTTCAAGAGAAGCATCTCGGGACCACCCCAAGCCTAGTCCACTTTTATGTGAAGGCTAGTTGAATCATGTTGAATCTACATAGCAGCCCAAAAAAGACTAGAAGAAAGGCAGTGAAATGTTGGTTCATACTACCCCCATTTTGAAGTAGTTCGATATATCTAGCATAACTGCAACAATGATTGCTACTGAATTGGGGCACCACCTTCTACCACAGTGACATTGAACAAAAATTGCGAGTCGGGCTGGGGCTGGTCATGAAGTTCGCCGCCCACGGGATCCTTGCCGCTGCGACACTGCCACCAATCATCACGTTGGGAATGGGGATTCAACGACGCCACCAATCATTCAGCTTGGGCAAATCTTATATCGGGAAGACTTTGTTTAAAGGTCGAACCAGAGATTGAAATCATGCATTGAAAAAAATTCTAGGTCTAGGTGTGGGGTTGAACATGAAGCCAATATAAATGGCTATAAATGGATACAAGATTATATAACTGTGGATTCTAAGCAGCAAAAATGATGGTGTGGAACCAATCAGAATGCGGATATGAATGGATATGATAAATGAAAATAAATGATATAATGGAAGAAGCTCTCCATTTCGGTGACGCCCGCACGCTTGGGTTTTGAGACTGTTGTTTGGGCGAATCTCGACCCCTGACTTCTGCGGGATTTGGATTTCTGGAGGCTAATGAAGCACGTTTAAGGTTTCAAATGGTTTCAATGGCAGTTCAGAGACTCTGGGCAAGGGTGGGCGGTTTTGCAATTTGCTGAGGCGGCTTTTAAATTGTGCTGCAATGCAACGTGGTTTTGGTGATGGATCAAACTTTGATGATTGGTCACCAAGGATGCAACGTATGTTGGAGGTTTTTGGATGAATGACTGGAGGCCCACTTCTGAAGAAGGGGGAAAAAAATCAGCTGAGAATGTCTGCTCAGTTTTCATAGCTTCTTTCCGTAGCAAGTTTTCTATTTTTGCAACAGGTCTCAGGTATGCAGTCATTCCACCGAACAACACACGCATCAACCGCAGAGTGACCACAGAGTGCGGACGTATAGGCTTCAGTGGGAGTGTCAACTCAAAGTGATGGACAATGGACAATACTTAGAGGCACCAGGGTTGCTTCAAAAAATCGTGCATTGGAAAAAATAGTTGCAGCACGTTTAAGCCAGATAGATGTTGTCGAAATATGTCGAAATATGTCGAAATAGTAATCAAATTAAACCATCCCCAAGTCATCGCCATTTTTATGGGTTAGATAAGTCATAAACAATCCCCAGCCATATAGTAGGTTTATGACCTTGGGTTGCCCACATTGCAATCTTTTGGGAGCAACCAGTTGGTGAAGCCTTTTGGATGCGCCACCGATTTCACCTCTGTGACGGGCCGCGGGACGTGGTGACGTGTTGTGTTTCGGTTTTCTCTGATTCCATTTGCAAAGCGTTGACAACTCAGTGCAGGGCTGCTGTTTTGTTGACAAACGATGCATGGAATGCATGGACTCTTGTTTTGCTGAAGTTCAAAGTTTGGGACTGCTGAACATTTTAAATTACTCTACTTCGTGTGATCCCCACCATGACATGTCAGGACGTATATTTGGACATATATTTAGTATATTCTGACATCCTATCTGACATATATTCTGGCATATATTCTGGCATATCTGGCATTCTATCTGGCATATATCCTGACATTCCACCTGGCATTCTATCTGGCAGTCTATCTGGCATTCTATCTGACATATTTTCTGACATTTCATCTGACATATTCTGGCATTTTACCTGTCATTTATTCTGACATATATTCTGGCATATATTCTGGCATTCTAGCTGGCATTATATCTGACATATATTTTGGCATTCTATCTGACATATATTCTGGCATATATGTTGGCATTCTATCTGGCATTATATCTGACATATATTCTGACATTCTATCTGACATTCTATCTGGCAGTCTATCTGGCATTCTATCTGGCATTCTTTCTGGCATTCTTTCTGGCATTCTATCTGGCATCCTATCTGACATTCTATCTGGCATTCTATCTGGCATTCTTTCTGGCATTCTTTCTGGCATTCTATCTGGCATTCTATCTGGCATCCTATCTGACATTCTATCTGGCATTCTATCTGGCAGTCTATCTGACATTCCTACATGAGGTCCGGCAGGGAACACTTGGCGTGGATACTCGCAGTTGAGGTCCGGCAGGGAACACTGGGCGCGGATGGTCGTGGTTGAGGTCCGGCAGGGAACACTGGGCGCGGATGGTCGTGGTTGAGGTCCGGCAGGGAACACTGGGCGTGGATGTTCGTGGTTGAGGTCCGGCAGGGAACACTGGGCGCGGATGGTCGTGGTTGAGGTCCGGCAGGGAACACTGGGCGTGGATGGTCGTGGTTGAGGTCCGGCAGGGAACACTTGGCGTGGATGGTCGCGGTTGAGGTCCGGCAGGGAACACTGGGCGTGGGTGGTCGTGGTTGAGGTCCGGCAGAGAACACTGTGGATCGCGGGTCGCAGTTGAGCAAGGACGACGAGGACGACGAGGACGACGAGGACGACGAGGACGACAAGGACGACAAGGATGACAAGGAGGACGAGGAGGACGAGGAGGAGAGGAGGAGGAGGACGAGGCAGGAGTCAGGAGGAGGCAGGAGGAGGCAGGAGGAGGCAACTGACATAAAATCTAACAACCCTCACCTGGCAGGTGGGGAAAAAGATGAACGTTCATGGGTTTGAAGGGCTGGTACGCAAGCAATTTTATTCAACTGTTCTGATACAGCTTGCAGACACCAGGAGTTGAATATTTCGACTTCACCATGACATGTGAATGTTGCACTGGATAGACATGTATAGACTGCAAAATGTTACCCCAAAGAGATTCTCGCTCCATTGAACCTGAACTGCCAGACAGATGGCAGTGGGCCCTATTTACTGGAGTTAACATCGCTACACATCTACTGCTCAAACGAATAGACCAAAGAAGAAACTCTACAAATTGAATGGTTCTCCCCCTAGACGGAAACCCGAAAGCCGAAGCTGCGTGCTTTTCCAGATGTAAAAAGAAATCGCACCCATTTTTGAGCGGTTCCATGTGAGTTCTTAAAGGGTTGCATCCTCAAAACGACGCCAAAAATCCTGATACATATAGTACATAGCAAGTTTTTCCGGGCGTCAGAACCGGGAGTCAAGTTACTCCCCAAGAATTACAATTATGAATTGTAGAAGTGACCAGCCCACGTCGAAGTTATTCTGCCTGCTAACCGGCATTTTGGTTTTCTTCCACAGGTCAAAAAAGAATCCTTTGAGAATGTTTGAAACCGTAGATAACAACAGGTATAGCAATAAGATACAGCGGGTATAAAGAACATCAAACCGGAATAAACTGCAAGATCATCTAGCTATTTTGGATATTTCTAATGCCCAGATTGCAGCGGTGCTCAGCAGTCAGAGTTTGACTTCAGCAGATCAGTACTCTGCCTCGGCAGTCAGGTTGCGCGAATCAGGTCAGGCTATGGATACGGTGGTGATGGCATCAAATGGGCTGAATCTGTTAGGATCTTGGGGAGATTATTCAATGAAATTCAAGTTTATCCCCTGACCACCACTACAAAAATATGTCTATGTCATATGTACAACGTATATTCAAATATTTTTAAAGTATGGCTCATTAGCAAACAGTCCGAAACCGTTTCAAACCGTTTCATACTACTTATATACTAGGTAGTAGTCCGAAACCCTTCTAAACTGTTTCAAACGAATCCCTAGAAGGCCTAACTTACATTATTTCTCAGCTGTTTTTCAATCAATGTATAATTTATTGGATATTGCTTCAAAAGTTTTTCAAACTTGGATTTATTTAGGGAATAGCTTCTGCAAATTACGGTGTATTCAAGAAATAGCTTCAGGCCTCCACAGACAAAGAGGCCAATGCAGTCCTCAAGATATAATCATATATACAATATCAGTATAATCATATCATATTACCAGTGTCCTGTTTGTTTCCTGAACCAATTCTGGGAACAACTCCACTCTTGAATTTAATTGACCATATAATCTGTGAAATGAGAAAACCACTCTCATTATTTTTTGGTACGTATTGCAGATGCAAGTGACAATTCCAATTCGATTTTTTGGGTTATAGTTGCAACATGTTCCAGAATCCTGTACTGCGAACGAACATCCACATGAACAAAACGGCCTACTGTAACCATGTCTATTCGTTGGGACCTTCACCTACCCATTCACATGGGGAGACTGGCGACTCAGACACCAGAAATGATCAGATGTGTTCAGCCAGCCACTGTGATGTTTGCCTGATCAGAGCCAAAAAGGCTGAAGGTCGCGAAATTTCTTGGCATTTGCATCTGTGAAATTGGCTTTGGAAGGGTGAACGGTCCGCGTCATTTTGTGTGGTAAACTGACGGGTAAAGGATACACATTGTGGCTCGTGTTTGTTGCTGAAAAGGGAGGCAATATAGCACCCACAAATTGTGCATTTGTTCGTCAGAATAGCCATGGTGGTTGACGGCGCCTTGCCACGCATAGCCATGCAAAGAGTCCACCAAGTTGAGATATCGGGAGAGCCCAAGGATTCGAAGTTCAGATGGTTTTCAGATCTTTTTCTCCAGCGATTGTATGCTGAAAATATATTGCTTAAAGCGTGAACTGGATTCGCCCTTCTTGGTATAGATGCTCTATGATGGTCTCACAACGCCAAGGACTTAAAAAAAGACTGTTTGAAATGTCTTGATGCAGGTACCAAGTTTAAAGATACTGAAAGGCAGGCAAGCGCTGAGCCAGAGTGGGATGATTTGATGATGCTTCCAGCGAGGGCAAGAAGATTGCTGCGGAAGACAGTTTGGGTAGGATGTAAGATACATAGTGGGGCGCATTTAAGATAATCAAATAATTGAAATGAGTTTTCATCAATTTTGGTGATGTGGATAAGTAACCCCATAAATTCTGGGATCTGTATATTCTTAATTTTATATCTTCGGAGCCTCCACAAATGGGTTATCTGAATCTTTAGATTCAGCTGCGCCTAATTTCAGGGCTGG